AAAAAAAAAAAAAAAAAAAAAAAAGTAATTCAAAAGCTAAAAACAAAAATATCCAGGAAAGTAACAACAAAGAGCTCTGTGTTTTCCAGGACCCCAAGGCAAGGCACAAGCTTTGCCCAGTTCACATATTCTCCGAACACAAGCTCTGCCACAGGAGACAAGCCAGGAAGGCTTCTTCCACCCTTCAGGGATCTCTGTGCCAATACCACAGTTTGGATCACTTTGTGACTATGCCAAGGACAAGGAATTCCAAGCGCCTAGAGCATGGTCTAGAAAGGGAGGTGCCTAAGATCTGGGCAAGTCTGTTCCCATGGCCCCAGGGACCCCTCACCCTTTAGAAAATGAGGACGTTTAGAGCAGGGCCTCCAATGTGAGAGCTCTCTGGCCTCAGTCAAAGAGCGACACTGTGAGTGGGGCCAAGCTCAGCCAGCCTTGGACCTGGTCAAAAGCTGACTACACAACTCATCCTAGCAATTGGCCAACCATTTAAATTGTGCAGCTGGGCTTAAAGAGGCGCTAAGCTAGATCAGCCCACACATACCTCACCCCTTTGGAAGGCCGGGCACTACTACTTTCTGTAATTTCCTATGTCAAGTTGTGCCACACACTGAAAGGCCCTCTGTTTTGTTCAATACAAAACACAGCTTCACAGGCTTCATACAAGGCTAATAGAAAAGAGACATCTAGGCTGGAAGCGTGGCTTAAGCACTTGCTTTGCAAGCAGGAAGCCCTGAGTTCAAACCTCAGTCCTACAAAAAAGGTGACATTCAGCCTATACTTTCTTACTTTGACTCTACAAGGGGTAATTCTCTGCTTTCATTAGGAAAGCATCTCACTACTTTCTAAGCCTCCTACTTCAAACAAGAAAAGATTGATTTAATGTTCAAATTTCAAAGTTTCTGGCCACTGACTGTCCACTATTTCCAGTCCAATCAGAGGAAACCCATTCTCTGGTCATCAGGTGTCCGGGAGACCCAATGTACCAGCATGTTCCCTAGGTAAGAGCTCTGACTCCTCCCCCCGGTTCTTCTCCACAAACCCCTCCTTCTGATTCATGGCATACTGCATTATATTTTGGGCTTTGGCACTGAAAATGTGATTTTAGCTCTTACCCTGAAGGAGTCTTTATCAAACCTTCTTTGATAATGGGCAGACTCTCCTTTTCACTCAACTCCCTCCCCACTCAGATATATAATTACATTTGTTTCAATTGCCTAAGCCACTATAAGGACTGTTCTCCAAAACTCTGGCAATTGTACAAAAAGAAGAGCTTCTTTGGGCTATCAGGGAACATGTGACTTTGCAAATCAAACCTTTATTTTATAAGGAAGCATACTTATTTGTAGTTAAGACATGCAAATTCTAAAAAAGTGGGATCTAGGCACATGGATAACAAACTTGAGGGACCCTCTAAGGTTCAAGGTTTAATTATAATCTACTTTGCTCCCAGAATGGACTAAAGAGCTAATCCAGGGCCTCATTCATGCATGCTAGGCAAACACTAAACCACTGAGCTACGTCCCCAGCCCCAATTTAAGTACTTTATATGTATGAAATTATCCAATCCTCACAGCTCTGACATCACAAAAAAAGGACACTGAGCCACAAAGCAGTAAGAAACGTACCTGGGATCACACAGCTGCAAGTGCCAGAAGATGACCCTGCTCTCAATCCTCACCCTAAATTGTGACCCCTGCTGAGCAGCAATCCTAAACTACCAGACTCAGCCCAATCAGGCTGTGCTAAGCAGCCAACAGGCTTATTGTGAACCAGCCTGACAACCTACGCTGAAATCTGAATGCCTTGCTCCGCAGGAATAAACATCATACTTTCAAGCAGCATACTGGTAGTAAGGATAGTAGCTAATACTGTTTTAAAAGCTTGATCTATACTGACTCCCACAATGTTATAAGGTGGGAACTATCACTGTCCCTATTTTATAGATGAAGAAACTGAGGCACAGAGATGCTATATAACTAACCACAAACTAGTAAGGTGGGGATGCCACCCCAGACAATGTGGCTCGAGTGTCTCAGGTGCCAGAGTTCTCACCATCACCTCATACTGCTCTCAGCCTGTCCATTTTACCTTTCTCTACAGCAATGTGGGCTAACTAACAAGCACACTGCAACTATAAACAAGTGTGCACAGAAGAGACTCATAATTCCACTACCGTGGGGAAGTCCTCCAACACTTGTCGATGCTTCTCCTTGCTCTCCATGAATCGCCATTCTGGTTCGTAAAGGAAAGTGTGAAAGTTGTGCAACAGTGGGATCTTCTTCTCCACACTGATGGACATATCGTCTTCCAGAGTGTCCAGAGCTCGGAGAACCAGGTAAAATATACATACTGCATGGCTGTGAAAAGGGAAAAGCTATTAACATACCGCAACAAGCATCCAAAGATACTTACTTTAAAATAACATCTGACCCAGACATGGTGGTGCACACCTGTAATCCCAGCACTTAAGAGGCTGAGGCAGGAGGATCAAAAGTTTGAAGCCAGCCTGGGCTACACAGGGAGACCCAAATTAATTAATTTTGTAAGATAACATCTAATTTGTGTCAAGGTATTTTCTAAACCCACCTACACACTTAACTCTACAGAACTAGGAAAGGACATCCAAGGCCTTACAACATGCTTAATGAAATTTACATAGTTTTCCTGTCTTAAATGGGAGTAATGGACTTCTATAATTTATTAATTAAAAACCAACCAGGTGGATGTCACACTACTGCTCCCAAAATGAGTTACATTCAGCTACTGTACAACAGCAGAGGCAAACAAGCCAAATGCCTACACTGAAATTGCCTTTTGCACATAACAAAAGTTAAAGATATCTAACTTCTCAGTATACTATTGCACATAGGGCAACGAGTACAAACCCATGTGTGTAGCCTGCACATAAGCAGCTTACAATTAACATTAATAGGCTAAAAATGTAAAGCAGCACATGATAGCCAAGAAAAATGCCTGACCTGCTCAGACGCAGGTTCAGCTGCCAGGGCTAACAGAAGTTAATAAACACTCCCATCCCCCACTGCTCTCAAAGCACTGGCCGCTAGTAGATGGCCAGGTGCCTGGAAGGGCATTCTAAAGTAAACACATGGGCGTTTCCATTCCCCAGCCCCTCAAACTGCTTCACTTAGAAGGGGCTACATTGTGCCTAAGCCACAGCACGGAGCCTGAAATGCTAAGTGGTGACTCAAAAAGTAGCTGGAGTGACTCCACGGCCCCTGGAAGAGGTCTCCTCCCAAGTCAGAGCGCAGGCCTCTGCCACTCACCGCATTTCCCCATCCAGCGCCTGGATAACAGCTGCGAAGCTGCGACTGGTCTGATTCAGATACTTGTAGCAAGTTTTCAAGCTGCTGCTGAGCGAGTCCTGCGAGCAGAGAACACACAGGGCGGTGGGCGACGCGGAGGAGCTGGAGTGGGGCTGGGGCAGGCAGCCGACCACGGGGCTCCGCAGCCGACACCAATCCTTGGAGGACCAGGCAGTGGGAGGCAAGGGGCAGCCACGCGGGGGGCCGCCGGAACCCCTGGGCGCAGTGACAGGACTCAGCACGAAAGTGCGTTTGAAGAGCGACATGGCCTTGGTGCCACAGGTAGCTACTGCCATGGGGGAATCGCCCAGGAGCTTTTCCTCCATAGACCCCAGCAGAGCTGGAAGGCGCCCACCGAGGGGCGGGGCGTTGCACGGACTCCGTACACCGCAGCGGGAGCAGCTCAGGCAGAGTCCTGGGGGCGGGTGGCACACGTGCAGGCCCCGCCCCGCCCCGCGGCCTGCCCCTACCCCCGCACTCTCGGGATCCCACAGGCTGCGGTGAGAGGTGGGGCACCTTGGAGGAGCTGCGTGCTTTTCCTTCCTGTGACTAGGACTCTCCTAGGCCAGCCTTTACTCAGGCTTCGCTCAATTCTCTCCCCAACTAGGCTTGGACTTTGGTTCTTAGGGGTCTGTCTTTGCATTGCCCAATTTTAGCGAGACTCCTCCAGCCCAAACAGAGGATCACACTGGCCAGCCTTCACCAAGAATCCGGTTAGTGGAGCTGAGCCAGAATCCCTCCTTCCTGCCCGCGCCCCTCTCCCCGCTCTTCCCATCCCCACCCACCCCCCGCCGTTTCCTCTTTATACTTTTCCATCCATCCACCCACACCCGCCCTCCTTGAATTCCCACGTCTTCTCATAGGTAATTAAGACTGGGCTCACTTAACCACTACTACGATAGCTCTTAATAAAATCTGCCTTTACCACTTTAAGTACAACTGCTCAGCTCTGATGTCTCTTTAACACCTTCCGGGCCTCTATTACCCTCTAGAAGCTAGCTGTTCTTTAACGATTTTTTCTCTTCTTCCTTGAAATGAGTGAAATGCAGTGAACAGCTTCCTGAACTTCACTCTGCCCTTAGGAAATGGAAAAGGTACTATGCCTTTTTTGGGGGGTGGGGGGGCTTATTAATAATGCAAACAATATTAGAAAGAATTGCTGTTTGTGTGCACGTATTTCTTATATAAACCTTTTGAGCAGTTTAAGGTTTACCAGAATCAAATGAACTATGTCCCTTTTTATGTGTATATATTTCCTAAATTTCCTAAAATGGATGCATATTATTTTGTCTAAAGAGACTTTTTTTTAAAAAATTACATAATCCTGAGAATTTTATTGTTTTTCCAGGAAAATTATTAGTAAACACTAATATTTAATGGCCACCAAATACACCATATAAGTATGGTGCCTACCACATAAAAATATCCAGTAAAGGTTTGATGAGTAAATTAATATATTCATATACTATTTTAAAACAATTCATCAACTCCTCTTCTCTCAAAATGTGCAAAGACAAGATTTCCTAGAAAAGAAAAGAAACCAAGTAACAGCTCCTCACATACCCCATATTACCAGGCCACATCTCTTCTCCTTTCACTGCTCTGCCCACTGTTGTCACCTTCAGCTGATGTGTAGAGAGCAGTTTCAATAAAGGCAGTCACTTTGGACTTGAAGACCCAAAGGAGTGCTAAGGACCCCTCCTTTCCAATCCCTGGAAGTTGGCAAGCTACAGAACCCAGATCCCTGGCTCCTGCCCACATCATTCTTTTCCTGTCACCTGTTTCAGTACTTCACCTTGAACAACAGTTCCCTGAAATTATCAAAAAGAATACTGTAGAGGAAGACACTCCTCACTCCTGATATCCGATGTGAGTGGTGGGACTGGGGCTATTGCTGACTGTCCCTAGAGCCTCAGGATGCTTTCTTCTACTGCTGTCTGAGGCCAGGTGTGCTCTCAGAAGTCTCCAGTGAGCCAAACAGGACTCAAGGGCATTTAGAGGAAGGTTGTAGAGTGCCTACAAATACAAGGCTCAGCCCTCAGGACTGGGGCTCCTGCCTCAGATCAAAGACACAAATTCACAAACTTCAGAACTGGACTTAAACAAGATTAATAATGATCACTCTTTAGATACTTACTGCATGCCAAACATAATACTTTAATCCTTACTAAACTTTTAAGGAAGATATTATAGGTGACTGCACCTGAAACCTTCATGGTCTGACATGCAGAATTCACAATTTTTAGTGCTTTAGAAAGCGGGCAATAAAATGCAATATAAACGCACTCCCATTGTGTGGCGTAGCATCCCATAACCAATTATTAATATTTCTTCAGCAAAACATTTGAATATTTATAACCAGTGGGATAAATGAAGTCTCAATTTTTATTCAAACCAGTTGTTGCTGCCAAGTGATTTGAGCCTTTCTTAAGAAAAAAACAAAAACACTTGGGCTGAGGTTTGGCTCAAGTGGTAGAGTTCCTACCTAGTAACCACAAGGCACTGAGTTCAATCCCCAGAACTTTGAAGAAAAAAAAAGAACTTTTCATAAGCAAGGCATGGTGGTACACACCTGTAATCCCTGCACTAGAGGGGCAAAGGCAGAAGAATTGAGTTGGAGGCTAGCCTGGGCTATATAGAAAGACCCCACCACATACACCTCCTCAAAGGAAGGAAAGGAGGGAGAGGGAGAGGAGAAAGGGCAAGCTTTCCAGTCTTCAGACTGGAGTGCAGCAGTTTATAGAACTGGGGGTGACCCAGGCACCTCCTTTACTTCAGCCAAGCTGTCTTCCTTGTTCCACACACAATTCCTGCTCAGTCCCATATATGGCTTTTTAGCTTTTTCTCACTGAGTATCCTCTCCACCAATCCAAATCTAATGATACAAAGTTCTGTACCTTACAAACCACTTTTCCCTTAAGTTCTGAAACCTTCCCTTCTAAGACATGTCCACTTCACTAAAGTGCCAGAAGGTTAAGGTATTGTGACCTGCGTCTCCATCTTACAGATGAAGTAACTGGCTCAGAAGTTAAGCTACTAAAGGTTGTTCAGCTAACTTACTCTCATTGAAGCAGGAATCAGACTTATCTGAGACTTAAGAGAAGATAATGGTTAAATAATAAATAATAGGGGTCACCAAAAAGGAACTCAGTACCTCCCTCCCCGCCCAGTGCTCACATCTTCCATACCCACAAAAGTGTACTAAATGCCAACAAATTAAAAGAAAAGAAATAGAGCTCAGACTTGACAGAAGCCAAATCTGATTACAAAAGGCCTGCTTCTTTCATTTTGTGGCCTCTGAGTAATGTCACTCAATTTTGGATGTGGCAGAATGTCCTTAGATTTGTGAATATAGTCCTAAAAATTCAATATAAGCCAAATTAGCTGAACCCTGAATTTCCATAGCCAAATACTTCTGTGACAGAAATAATCAGCCCTCAATATTGCTGAGGGTTCATTTTCCCTCGTTTTTTTTTTTGTTACATAAGAAAAAAAACAAGATATTTTCCTACTTGTTTCCTCTAATTATAAGTACGTGTAAATTACAAAAATGGTCACGAAAGTTTGTGATTTTTCCCACCAACAGGAAGTCTTTCTCTCATTCCTTGAACCTAGCACCTCTTGTCATTTTTAAGTGTGATTCAAACAGAAGCTTGAAAATGCTCAAGCCATCAGGGTGTCTATGTGGAGAGCCCCAGGCCAAGCCTGCTGACCACCCCAGCATCCAACCACAGCCAACTGGCCATCTGAGCAAGCCCTGAAGAATTGAGGCAAGGCGGCCAGACCAGAACTCCCAGCCTGCCCAGAGAATTTGTGAGCTAAATAACAGCTGTTACTTTAAGTCACTAAATTTTTTGTTTGTAAAAGTCAGGTATACAGATATAAAATTTACCACTTACCCTTTTTGAAGTAGTTCAGTAGTATTCTTACACGTTGTTTTACCAAACTCCACCACAAACAGTACTGGCAAACAGTAAGTCAGTAGACGCTATTATCATTACTAATTTGGTTATTCTAACTCCCAATATACTCTCCTCTCACTCCCCTGCAAAATAATCCCCAAAACACTGCTTACGGCTCTGCTTCTAACTTTTATCTACTCAAACGCAGCCCCGCTTCTGGCTGAGCCCCCATCTTGCCTACACTTTCTACTTCTAAGCCACCCCAGTTATTTCTAGCCAGGTTGGCTTCCTTGTCATTCCACACACAGATCCTGGTCAAATCTAAGGCTATATGTTTCTATACCTCACAAACCACTTTTCTCTTAGTTCTGAAAACCCTCACCTCTAAAACAGTTCCACTTCATTAGAATGCCCTGAAATCAAAATTTACTTCAGATTACTAGGATTTAATTTAATTCAGATTGCTAGGGTATGTTACTTTTGAACACCTGTTTTCTATTGAGATTGTGAACGTTTAGGGTAGGCATTTTCCACTTTGCATCCATCGAAAAAAAGTGTGTTCAGCTTTTAGCTGGGCCTAGACGTCTGCTGTTTAATATGCCTTTGTGGTTCACATTAAAGACTCAGAGGGTCACAGTCCAGCTGTCACTTAACAGCTATTGGACCTTAGGCAATTAGCTACCTCTCTGGGTCTTGGTGTCTTCCCTGCAAAATAGGAAACATAATACCAGCTTCCTCTAAGTGTTACTGGATTTCTAAATAATAAAAAAATAATAATAATAATTGAATTAAAATAGTACTTGACACATAATAAGAGCTAAATAAACATAAGCCAATTGTTACTATGGCACCATCTCTGTGAAAGGTTGGTATCTAGGTTTCAAAAGCCTTCCAGCAAGGAAGTCACCATGCAAGAGGAACAGGTCCTGTCCAGTGCAATTAAGAGAGCTAAGCCACCACAGTTCCAAGACTGCAGCCTGAATGAAAACGCCCATGAGCACTGATACGGGGTCAGCAGAGGGTGTGAGATGCAGAGAGCGCTTTAGTTGTGTCTGGGTATTTAATTTATGAAGAAGAAAATGAAGCAGATGCTAACCTCTGAGACAGACACCAAGGGGTTTGTTACAATTAAATTTTTGTTTGAAGTATTGCGTAATTCAAATGCATTTTAAGTTGAAGCAATCTTAAGGTGTATGAATTAGAAATGCCAGCATCTATAAGAAAGTAACTTAAAGTTCTAAAGTGGCCACACCACATCTGAAGGACACTAGACTTTAAAGAGGGAAACCAGGCCACTTCTGTTTCCGGTGGGCCCGCCACCCCCCGGCTGCGTGCACGAGCGGTCTCCGGGTGGAAGGCGCCCCGGCCCTAAGAGCCCGAGCGGCCGCTCGTGACTGCGGCTTACGGCGGAGGGGCGAGGCTCACGCAGGCCGCGCCCCGCAGCCCCGAGCCCCGAGCCCCGCAGCCCCGAGCCCCGCAGCCCCGCAGCCCTGAGCCCCGAGCCCCGCA